GAGGAGTTGATGGAGCCAAACTGTGCTGAGATGCCAGGCGTTCTTCAAATCTGCTTCAAATCATTCCTCCTTCCAGCTAGGAAAATTGACTGACAGAGAAAAGTGCCTCTTAAATACCTGTGTTTTTTCCCTTGAGCACCAATGAAGACACACACTTTTCAGGACAGAAAAAGTAATGCCGAATCACTGAAGCTTCCATGGTTTTTTGGGATATTCCAGAGAATTGGCCTGTAGCTTGGTAGGAACAGAAGAAAGCAAAATGTGCACCAGCAACGAGATTGATCCTGGTAAGTTGGTGTACTGTTCAAATCACTTTCTCTTGTCAACTGGAAATATACCGTTTGTTTAGATTATTGGCCATTGCGCCGTTGCCTGTTGGTTTTCTCTGGAGGTGGACATTTTAACTGTGTTAGAGTGATACTGGCGGGAGGAACCAAATTAGAATACTGTATACCTTTTGCAACAAAATGTTTCTTCATCAACAAAGAACACATTGTTCCTACAAATTTATTTACTGGAGCTAGAGAGAAAAAGGGGGAGACGGTGAACAAGAAGTTGTAAAAATGGTGCACACTGAAGTCCTTCGATTAAATCCTTGTCTAGTATTTATGTTTGAAAGTTTTTGAAAATTAGAATCCTTACTTTCAGGGATGCGTATATTTAATTTTACTTATACTACTATAACATTTCATGCTTGCCTTGATGTACCTAGGAACCTGGAAATAAGCTTGTATGTTTTCTGAAATGTTCGTATGACAAACCGGTGAATGGATCTGGTGAATATTGTTTGTATAAGACAGGATTACATGTTCGTGGAATGTTTGTGCATGAGAAGGAAAGAGTTTTTAGCCGTAGATCTTTGATCTAGAAGCAGGCTGATTCTTTGAATTTGTGATTTAATGAAGACAGGGACAACAAAAAGCATTACTTAATAAATAGGGCGAAGGGAGACATAATAGGGATTTATAAACCGCATCTAGAGAAAAGAGTAGGAAACTAGTCTCATTTTTTGTTAAAAACTAGAACTTGAGATCACTCCAAGCTGATTGGCAATTAATCTGAAAAAGGAAGGACCTTCACACAACTCTTATTTTACTTCTAAATAATTGAGTAGCACATGATATATTTTTAAAATTAAAAATTTAAAATTAATAGCATTTAGTAATTAAAACCAAATTAACAGCATTTAGTTCTAGCAGTGGCAATGGATCACAAGAGCTAGATAAATTGCTCATATAGAGAGTCAGTACAGGTAGTTCTCGAGTTACAACTGTAATTGGTGACAGTCATAAAAGAGTCACCGCAGGACCAGATTGGACCTAATTTTATGAACATTTTTGGAACTGTTGTTAAGCAAATTCATTGTTCATCGGAAGTAAATGCTGGTTTCTGGCAAAACCATCATAAATTGTGATCATGAGACATGGCAAATTGCTGTTAATGTGGGCCGACTGCCAAGTGCCAAAAATGTGGTCATGTGACTTTGGGGGTATATGTAGGTGACACTGGATCTGCAAAACTGGATTATAAATAGCTTGTTTTGGGGGGGGAGTCAGTCTTAACTTTAACCCAGCTGACTCAGGAATTTTGCGAGTTGAAGTCCATGAGTTAGAAAAGATCCAAGGCTGCCTACCCCACTAAGCTATCAGAAGAGGTGCTTATTTTAAGTCTAGGTTGGGTGTACCCATTGGCACTTGGCTTGGCTTAATTATCTTTGGATAAGATTGAGCGGACATGGGTCTGACCAGCCTGGTGCTCTCCTGCCATGACGGAGTACCCGTGTTCAGTCATGAATACATGCATCTGTAAATGTCTAAATCTGTATCAATATCTACTTCTCAAAGGATTGCTTGCATGAGTGAATTAATTTTATAGCCTATGTGTCAGTAGACATTTATCTCCAAAAGCACATGTTTCACTTGCATAGAAGTGTGGCAGTCACCTCACTTGGTAAGGTCACCACCGGGCTTGTGGGTTCTTCTAAGGGGTAGCAGCATGTGTGCACATGCGCGTGCACACACACACACAAGTTGCAATCACACCCCCTCACCTATTAGAGCTTTTCCAATCTCCCTGTAGCTCTCATACATATAAATCAGGAAGCACAAAGGAAGAAGGCACAACGATGGAAGATAAATGGAAATAGATTTCAGTGAGAACCAGGTTTTGTTTTTGTGGTGCTGGCACAATCCCTTCCTTTTCTGAATGGGTGCATGTACAAATGATTACACTTGGGAAACAATAACCTTGGAAGGAGGCAGAAAGTCTATAGAGAATCTCCAAGAAAGATATATGAGCTAATGAGAGCAAGATGTAGTCCCCAATTTATGAATTCTGTCTGTAAAATCCACCTGACTGTAGAAATCCAACAGAAAACCCTGAGCAGTTATGCTGTCTCCTTTCCCCCAATTCTTTCTGCAACATTTAGGCATTGTTTTCTCTCTGGGGTAACATTTTTGTGTGTCACCTCTCCTTTCTTCCACAAGTATTCAGAAGTTAGGGCTTCTTGTATCTGGTCTAATCTTCTGTCAGTGCTTTTCTTCTAGAGCAGTGGTTCTCAACCTTTTTAATGCCGCGACCCCCCAACCGGTCATAAGTCGAGGACTACTCAACCGGTCGTAAGTCGAGGACTACTCAACTGGTGCAGCACCGTTTGCAGAATGGGACTTTTGGCGGGCTCAGCAGGGCAGAGACAGCCTGGACAATTCATATTGGCTTTTGAAAGCCAATAGAATTAGACTCTATTCAAGAGAGTCTATTCTATTGGCTTTCAAAAGCCAATAGAATAAAAGGGAGTAGTACAGCTAAGGAAACGGGGGGGAAAAAATGGCGGACTGCGTTGTTTGGCGACCCCCGTGAAATGGTCGTTCGACCCCAAATGGGGTCCCGACCCACAGGTTGAGAACCACTGCTATAGAGAACGGAGCAGGAGTTTTTTTTCCTGCCTCCATGTATTAGTCTGGTTTCTTTTTCCTAAAACGTGGGATGGAGCTCCCTCATTAAAGGCAGCTGGAATCCTGGCAATTTTCATTCTCTTGTTTCTATTTTTTCCTCCTTTTCTTCCCCATTCCCTTGTTCCCTGCCAGCAAAAGTTGAGTGTCAGGAACGGAGAAGAGGGTTTCCTTGTTTCTCTGAGCTGTTCTGCTCTCCTGCTGCTGTTAGAAGGACTCAGCTAAAACACTCCTCCTATTCTAGCCTCCCTCTTTAAACTTCTCAATTCTAATTTTGTGTTTGTTTACGTATCTAGAATACAGCTGGAAGGAACCTTGGAGATCTTCTAGTCCAACCCCCTGCTCAAACAGGAGCCCCTATACCAGGGATGGCGAACCTTTTAGAGATGAAGTGCCCAAAGTGCAACCCAAAACCCACTTATGTATTGTTGGGTGCCGGGTGGGCATGGCCCATTGGGTGGGCATGGCAGACTGGGTTGGACTAAAAAGTTCAGTCAATCAATTCCAACTTTGCGAGATCTTATTTTTCCCATGAGAAGTTGAAATTGATTGATTTGATTGACTGATTTTTTTGCACACGGTGGCAGAGGCCTAAAGCAAAAAGGTTTTATAAAACCCAGCTGAAGGCCTAGGACTGGGGCGACGGCACGTGTGCCCACAGAGAGGGCTCTGAGTGTTGCCTCTGGCACCCACGGCCCTATACCATTTCAGATAAGTGTTGCAAATACGGTGTGGACAAGGAGAGGAAAGGAGAACCGAGTATCAGCAAGAAAATGGATATTTCCATCCCAAAGTTGGAACATCTTCAAAGGAGGCAAAAGGTCCTGTAAAAACAGCTGATTTATCCTGCCAAAGGTTGCATAATAATAATAATACAGGTAGTCCTTGATTTACGACCATTCATTTAACAATTGTTCAAATTAGGGCAGCACTGAAAAAAGTGATTTATAACTGGTCCTCACACTTATCTGTCACATATGATCAGAATTCAGGTGTTTGGCAATTAGCATGTATTTATGATGGATGTACATCCTGGAGTCATGTGATCACCATTGGTGACCTTTCAAGGGGCTTCCGATAAGCATTTGCTTAGCCACTGTAGTGATCTAGTGAAATTGGGTGTAATGCAATCGCCTGATTTAGCAATAGCTCCTGTCCCAATTGTGGTCATAAGTTGAAGACTATCTGTATAGAGAGCTATTTCACTGTTTCCTTGGGAAATGAAAATGTTTAGTTTCAATATGGGGACAGACACAGGAGCTGATGAAAGCCTGAAGCCACTCACAATCTGTGCAGTCCTGGTGTTCTTTGGGTGTCATTCCCAGCCAGCATTTCAGAATTAACAGAATAATAAAATAACAGTGTTGGAAGGCACCTTGGAGGTCTTCTAGTCCAATCACTTGCTCAAGCAGGAAACCCTATTAACAGGTTGTGATGAAACAGCATGAGATTGCATACTTTGGATTAAATGTAAACTGCTCCCAGTAGCAGATCTGAACTATAAAAGATCCCAGCCACTACTAGAAGCCAGCAAAGAGGTACCAAAAACTTTTTTACCAACTGTCATAGAATTGTGTTGCATTGCTCGTGATGTTCCAGAGTATTATTATTATTTTATTTGGAGGAAATCAATGGTTAATAAAACAATTGTTTGAGACTTTCAGAAGAAGCAAAATTGTCTTATCTTCCTAATATCACCCTCCTAACAGATGGAGAAGTCTTTCCTGCACTGAACAACTGCATGAACTGGACTTGTGCTACAGGACACCTAGCCATGCCAACTTTTCTAATTAGCCCCATGCCCCTAAACTGGCATCATTCTCTGAGCACAGTCAACATTTAACCCTACAGATCTGATGAGCTTCCTTGACTGGGAAGAAGAGTGCAGGTGCTTTTAACAGAGAGATTGGGTGAGGTGGGGTGGGGGCAGAGGGGGGGGGTTAAGACATTTGCAGACTGAGCATCTTGAGGGAGAGTCATCCATCATAAATCCTGTCCCTCTCCTTTTTAGTGCGTTAAGATAGATGCTGGTTCTCAGAACCTCACTGATCAAAGGTGAAAGGACTTTGGGGAACAAGAAATCCTGCTGAATGGATTAGACTGAAAATCTGTTTGATCTGGCATTAGCAGTGTGAAGATGGGCAAGGAGGGGGCAGAGTGCTCGGTTATGAGACCGATGCACAAACAGACTGGTATTTCTCATTTCTCCCTCAGGGTTGGAATCTGTTTATTTGATTTTATATCTTTTCTTTATTATTTTTATGAATAACTCAAGGCGATGAATATTCCTTCCTCCTCCAATTTCCCCCTAACAAAAACAATTCTGCGAGGTGAGTTATTTATAAGCCTAGTTGCAGGACTGGAGAGGTATGTGGGGCAAGGTGGTGGTTGTGGTGCTGCGTGGTGCACAAAAGTGTCTGGGTCCCAAAGCAAGCTTCTCAAATGCCCCCCCTTGATGAAAGAACACACACACATAAACCCCTTGGTGAGAGAACTTCAACCCTCTCCACGCCTTCATGAGATAATTCAGTACCCCTACCACCACAGAGACCCCTCCAAATGCCCCTCTTGGGGTAGAAGTCTACTCCCTGACACAGTTTCTCTCTCTCTCTCTTTCTTCGTCCCTTCAGAAGGTTCCCCCCCCACACACACACACGTTCTCCCTCGTTCCTTCACAAGCAGCATGAAAGAGAAAAACAGCGACAGAAGGATGCTCTGCTTCCTTCAAGGCGACGGCTCTTCCCTCTTTCCCTCGTTTCTTCTTTTCGTTTTTCTCTAAGTTGGGGTGCTGCGGCCCCCGTGCGCGCGGCCACTAGATGGCTGCAGAGAGACCCGGCCCACTTGGATGCTTTGCTGCCATCTCCTGATCAGAGGGAGAATTGCAGCTGGGGTAGAGGCGCCAAAGTCGGGATACTTAGTCTTAAAGAGCGGGGCAAGGGGAAACGGGTAGGGGCAGGCGGCTTCCTCGCGCCATCCGTAGCTTTACAGCCGTGGCTCTCGCTTGTTCCTGCTTTTTCCAAACCCTCGATCCCTTGAACGGGCCAAGGGACAGGCAGCGAAGGGCAGGGCAGATATAGGGAAGTGCTGGCGGGGCTGTGATCTGGCTCGTGTGTCTTTGCTCGAGAACGGCTGCGTTCAGCGACAGGCCTCGCTTAGGCTGAAGCGGGAGAAACCTGGGAAAGACCTCTGCAGGGGATGAAGGCGAACGGCCGCCCAGCAGCGTTAACTCAGCAGCGCTCCGGATTAGGCTGGCAGTATGATTCTTGATAAAAGTGCTTCTCGGGCGACCGGTTGGTGCTTTCCTTCTTGCCCTTTTGCAGCCCATCCCGGTCTTGGAGTGCAGGTACACACACGCATCCGATCACTGCTTCCCCGTTTCTTCTCACTCGGATCCTTCGGTTGCGCCCTGACCCGCAAAAATGGATTAAACGGTCCGGTTCTTTATGTTATTTGAGAAACTCTTTCCAAACGCCACTCTCGGGGGGGGGGGGGTCAATCTAGAGCTCCAGATGGAAGCGACGCAGCGCCCTCTATAGTTTTCACTGAATAACTACCGCCATTAAAAAAAAAACTCCGCTTGGTCTCCCATCCGTCCCCCTGACAACGAGCCTCTCGGCCTTTTGGCTACAGGGCGGAAATGACAAAGGCAGAAAACAGAGCAACTACCGAGTGCATCTCCCTGACCTTTGGGACAGGATATTTTATGCATTCTCACACCTATTTTTTTTTTTTTTTTTTTAAAAACTCCTCTCCTGTTCGTTTGCAAAAACACCCGAGGGATCTTCCTGGCGTAAGCGATGGCGGCCAAGGAGAGCTGGCAGGATCCACCCCACCCCACCTTACCCCGTCTTCTCTGCAATCCGGCTGCTGCTCTGCTTATTTCTGAACACTATTAAACACGGGACGGCTCCATCTGCACGGATTCTCCATAATTCCCGTATGCAGCGGAAAGTGGTAGGGTGTGTTCGCTTCACTCCATTCTTTCCCTCGTGGGGGAGTTTGGAAAGGGGCGGTGGACTTCTGAAGCCAAAGGAGCCGGAGAGGATGAGGGGGGTGGCAATTTTTCACCTTCTCCTTCCCTCCCTCTGCGGTGAATTTGCTTTTTGGTCCTCTCTTCCCCGATGGTAGAGAGAGAGCCTCTCGGGGGAGCGCAACCTCACCCTCCCAGAGCGGGTGGGCTGTCGCTTTTCCTTGAGCTCGGCGGCGGCCTCTGAGACCTGCACACAGATCCAGGACGCCGGACCCCGCTTCTGCCGGTGCTGGGGTGCGGGGGGGGGCGTCTGCGCGTGCACGGTCGAGCTTCACATCTCCCGCTCGGGGAGCCAGTTCTCAGGCAAGGCAGGGATCTGACCCGATCCCTGTTTCTCTTCCCTCCCTCCTTCCCTCCCTCCCTCTCTCCCTCCCCGCCTTCCAGCGCCCAGGACTGCGGCGCTGGGCTCCTTCGGCTGCGCCGGCTTCGCAACCTGCTTCTGCCGCGCTGGTGGTGAGGCTCAGGGATGGGTGTTGAATGCTAATGACCCTTCCCGGTGCGTGCGTGCGCGCGCGCCTGCCTGCCTTGCCTTTGCCTTGCAAGATCGGGGGAAAAGGACAGGCGACGTGGTCTAGTCTGCATTAAAGGAATAAAAATATATCAAGCCCCCCCCTCTCCCCGGGCCCGCTCCCTCCCCTTCCTCCTCCTCTTCTTCTTCCTCCTCCTCCTCCACCTTCTCTCCGTGCGCTTCTTCTCTCCCTCCATCTCCTCGCACCTCTCTTTTATTTTATTTTATTTTATTTTATTTTTGCACCGCCGCGTGTCTTTATAGAAAGGTGACCCGGGGAAGGATGGTGGTGGTGGTGGTAGTGGTGGAGAAGAATAAAAGGGAGGGGTGGTCTAAGAGACAAATAAATAAATAAATAAAGAAGGAAGGAAACTCAAAGCTGTAAGCGATGCAGAGATTTCTACGCTGGAAGCCCCGGGAAAGGCAGCTGGGAAGCGGGGGTGGGGGAGAAGGCAACGGGGCTTTTCCCCCTTTATTTATTTATTTTAGCCCCTCCTCGCCGGGCCCGCTTCAGCGCCAGGTTCTGCTTTAACTTTGGGATGCAACATGTGTAGCGCGGAAACCTGAACAACCTTGAACGGAGACCGATGGGGGGGGGGGAAGCTAAAGGTGGGGGGGGGGGGGCGCCTGAGCGGTGAATAAAGATCGGAAAGAAATTTTGGAAGGGAAGGAGAGGGGAAGATGTTGCTGGTGGTTCCGCGGCTGGTTGGATTTAGCGCTTGTTTGATTTCCCGCAGGAGGAAAAGAAACGGGGGTGGGTGGGTCGGGGGGAGAGGCTAGGAAAAAATAATATTACATTTAAACAAACAAACAAACAAAAAAACCAAAATCCAGAAAGAAAAATACAGACCATCTTTTTCTCTGTGTATCTCCAGAGGCGGAGAACATTTTGCTTCTCTCTTCAGTTTCCTGGTTTATCCTTGTCCTCAGGAGTTGTCATGAAAAGGTAAGCTGGATTTAATGGTTTAATTCGCTGCTTCTTCTTTTCTTTGCCCCCCCCCTTCTTTCATGTATTGAATGTGTACCTTCCCCGCAGCGAACGTCCCGGTGCTGTGGAACAGAGTCGCAGCACGGAGGTTTATTACTTTGGAGGTTTGGGGGGGTGGGTGGGTGGGGGAGAAGAGCTCCTGCTCCATCGCTGCCTCGTTCGGGGGCCTTTTTTATTTTTGGTGGGGACAGGGAAAGAGGGGAACCCTTGGTGGAAAAAGGAAGGAGACCCTCCCTCCCTTTGGAAAGAAAAAAGCATTTCTCCCTCCACCCTGATGTCACAATTTTGTCCTCTGCCTTTTCTGTGGGACGTGCCATGCCCCAGCCCAAGGTTTGAGTTCAGACTTCTAAAAGCATATTATTGCCTCCTCTTACCTGCCCCCAGGGGCTTGGTTTGCAGGGAAAAAAATGGGTGATGGCCCCTCTGTTAGTCCCCTTCTCTCTCCCTCCCCCCCTTTCGGGTATTTGTGTGTGTGTGTGTGTGTGTGTGTGTGTGTGTGTGTGTGTGTGTGTGTGTGTGTGAGAGAGAGAGAGAGAGAGAGAGAGAGTACCCTCACCCATGGTTTGTTTGTGGCACTGAACATCCAGACTGCAAGAGTATGAGGTGCCAAGAAAAAAGGTGTGTGTTTTTTAACCTCATTATTGTATTCTGAATTAATCCATACGGGTCTGGAACTGCAAAAGAATCAGAAAGACCAGAGATGTACACTATAGAGACTTCACTGCAGCCTCTGCCTTTTCTTAGCAGAGAAGGGAATCTGTATCGGTGAAAAGGAGAAAAAAAAAATGCAGCTTAACTGAAGGGCATCTGCTCTCTTTCCCCCTTTAGGAGAGAGAAAAGGAGCCTGGGAGGGGAGGGGAGGGGGGAAATGCCCATTTGATTTAACCCCCCCCCCAAAGAGTTCCTTTTCTCTTGTGGCGTGGAGTGGCCTCTGGGCAGGGAGGGCAAGGGGTGGCCAGCAGGAAGGTTTAAAATTGGGGATGATCCCCTGGGCCCTTGGGGAGTGGGATCCCGGAGCAAGGTATCTTTGAGTTTTAGAGAAAGGGAGGTGTGCCTAATGGTTATGGGGCTTGGGCTGAGCCCGGGAAAAGAAAGGATAGCGAGGAACTGATGTCTCGTGAAAGTAGTGGGGGACAGTGGTTAAAGTGGCATCCGATCCAGGCATCTTTAACTCTCTGTGGGGGGCTTTGCAATCAAAGTAACAGAGCGTCCTCCCCACTGCAAGATTCGTTCATAAAAGGGGAGGGTGACTGGGGAATCGGAGAGTTATGGCTCCAGGGGTGGGTATTGCTGGGTTTTGTCCAGCTTCCAAGACGCGCACAGTCACAAACAGGCATGCACGCACACACAACATGCGTATGGCAGGGCCTTAGATAGCTGAGGATGCCATTTGATGCTGGGATGGGAGGCGCAAAAGAAGCCGCCCCTACCTTTTGGGTCTGCTGGAGGAATTCCGCTTGAGGGGTCCCCCCCAAACAAAAGGATGCTTGGATGAGAAGCTGGCTAAGGTGAGCTGGTGGAGCTGGGCTGGGGTGACTCTTTCCATCCATCCCCAAAGATGGAGGAACCTCACCTCTCATCAACAGGAGGAAGGGCAGCCAAGGACTGCTCTGATGGCAGGTCTTGGGGTCTGGAATGGAGAGAGAAATGCCCAAAGGAAAGCCAGGTGTGGAAGGCTTAGGAGCTTTCCTTTTCCACTTCTCTAGGCAGCAGACTAGCTCCTAAAGACGCAACTCTTCCCCACATGGGGGGGGGGGAGGTAGAATGCATGATTAGGTTGATTGGAGGTTTGTCTAAATCGGCCTCTTAATAAGAGGATTGACAGGTAGGTTGGGAATTAAGGGAGGGGGTTTTCGTGAACAGAATGGAAAAGCGTGGAGGTCATTGGAGAGAAAAAAATCTCGTTGCTAGCACTTCAAAGCAAAAGGGGCTAAGGGACAATGGAAATCTGCTGGTTTTCACTTCTCTCCCCCCACCTCCCCCCCCCAGAAAGACAAACATGCAGAAAGTTGAGGCAGAATGGGAAAGAAGCCAGGACACCCCATTGGTTCAAGCTGCATGTTCCCCAAATGATTGCACTGGCTGGTTCCCCATTTCTTACCTAATGTCCTACAGAGGTTTGGGTTCCCCAACTTCTTGGTTGGAAATCCATAGCTGACTTCCCCACCACTCCCACTCCATCTACTGGAGCCAAGACCTATTTGTCTAGAAAGGCAGACAGTGGCCAGTCTCTTGACCAACTCTCTTCCTAAGCTTGCTCATCTCCAGAGGACAGAAGGGTGATTGGAGATGGCAGCCTTGCTCTTTGGCCTGCCTGGCCAGCGGACTTGCTTCTCTTGGGGGGGGGGGGTGTGTGTGAAGAGGCTCAGTCATTGTGAGTTGATGCCAAGATGCAGTGGAATTCTTGCAGATGTTTCCAAGGCTTTCTCAGATTTGGGCTCAGGTCCCTTTTGTGATGCCCTCCTAGCTCTTGGCTTTGAAAGGCACCTGGGATGGGTGGGTGGGTGAAATTGGAGATTAAAAATGAGACTGGGTTTTATAAAAGTTCTCTCACAATCATTCAAATAAGTTGAGTGGCCTGCAACTCTTTTGGAACTCTTGACTCTCAGCCATGGGCGGGGAAAAAAAAGGCAAAGCAGAAAAAAAAAGGCAAAGCATGGAGACCTATGAGATGGAGGAAGGGAACAAAGATGGAGTTGGGCAGGAGATAACAGAGATGGTGATGATGTTGGAGATGACAAGTCAGGGGGCATTCTTTGAAGAACAATAAAGCAGGAGGGGAAAGGTGAGGTTTCAAGGTGTTGTCGTTGTTCAACAAATGACAATAAACTGTTTATCTTGGCTGGCATGTTTACATTTGTTCTATTGAGAATGCTCTTTCATCCATTCTGTTGCTACCAGACACTTTTCCTACACACAGCCTACGAGTGACCTGTGGAACCTGTTGTCACAGGATCCTGAGAAGGATGTTAAGCTGGTCTTTAAAAATGGGAGGGAGGGAGGGGGGGAGAGCGAGAGAGAGAGAGAGAGACAGACAGACAGACACTGACTGACTGACTGACTGACTGACTGACTGACTGACTGACTGTATTTGAGGAGTTGATGGAGGGTGGGATCAGCCAAGAAGCTTAGGTAGCGGAGGCAAGCCATCTGTTAAATTGCGAGTGTGAGGGAGAAGATAAAATCACGCCATAATTACCACTGTGATTTCTTCTGGAAACTGTTTTCAGAATGTGTGTGTGGGAATCCCTAAGGAGATGCTGGCTTATGCTGAAGGATGTGTGAACTCTTTCTATTCTCACTACTCTTTCAGTCTTGTTTCTTTTGAGGGTGGGTATCTGGATAAGGCCCAGTGGCATCACAACTGTGTTGGGTCCATGGTACATCTTTTGTGCAATCTCACCAGCAGTCAGTGACTGTCAGTCACCCATGTGTTTCTGCCCCCTTTTCTCCTAGGACTGGAAATGGAGCCCCCCCCCAGTGGCCTCCATTGCAATGGGGGCTGAAGCCATGTTTCTCTTATTGAATTCTGGAGACTAGGCTCAGATGGATCGTTGGTCTGGGCCAGGTTAATGGTGACTATGACCTCTGAGTAATTTCATGTTTGTGAATATTTGCATTTGGGACTCCACATTGCTAGGTGTGAAGTCCCTGAGAACACGTATTTGTGAGCTTTTATACATGGAGGCTGGCTATCCACCTGTGATGTTGCTCACGTCTTTGTGAAATAGGCAATTCCACACCTGTCTCTGTTAATGCGTTGGTGAACTTCTTGGCTTCTACAACAGGGACACTGTTGGCAATGTCTCCTGACTGTGGGCTGTATGAAAGTGTGCTTGTGGCCCTGCATTTAATTTGGGCCTGAATTATTCCTCAGGTGTGGGCCTGTGTCTTGCACATGGTTTGTTCCTTTCCTCTGACTGTGTTTGTGTGGGCTTCTGACTATTTTGCTCTCCGATTATTTGCTTCAGTGATTGAACCCTTTCTTCACTGTATGTGATTCTGCTTTTTATACCATGAGTGTTCCCAGCATTAGGAGCTGTCCTAATTCAGGCTGGGTGTCTGTTTATGTGCAGTTGTTTCTCCTACTACAGTATGTATCTTTCCTGATCCCCTGTATAATCATGCAAAGAGTGACTGTAGGTTTAGCTTAAGCCCTTTCCCCCCAATACGTTACTCCACTCATTGTTAAACTATGAGTCTCCAGATGTCAGATTTCAAAACTTAGCTGGCCAGCCCATCTAGAAGGGTTGAGGAAGACTTAGCAGTCTTCAGCAGTTTTCCTTGTATAACACAGTGTGAGTAATCTAGTCAGAGGGCACTTGCCCTTCCTTGATATACTATCTCATACTAAAGGATGATTATGTTGGATGTGAGTGACCAAACAGAGCTTGAGAAATTCATATGGAATGAAGGAGGATGGCAGCTTCTGTTGGTGCAGCTGATTTTCACTCTAAATAATTTCCTTTCTCACTAGAGAAAGAGGCCACATTGAGATTGTCCCAAGCTCCCAATGTACAACTGCCAGCTCTTTTCCTGTTATTTATGGTGTTTTTCCCACTGATTGTTATTTTCATACCTTAAGAGAAGATGTTGACTAGGGTGGAAGTGTCCTAGTAACATACCTAGTTTTGGGTAGTCAGTAAGGGATTCTAACGCATCCAGTTTACCGGGTTACACTAATACAAGCTTTGATGTTCTTATGGCCATGATAAAATAGTATAAAAGTTTCTATTCACCCAGCAGATATGGAATAAAGAAACTGAACAGAAACAAATATAGTTACTGCTAACTCTGTGGTGATAACCCCAGTCTTATATCATGGCTCTCCCAAATATACGCTCCAAGTGGACTTATTTGTATAGGTAATATCCCTTTCCCATTTGCTATATTTACTAATGTCCTTATTTCTCCATTGAGTACTATATTTTTATGTTAGTTTTCATCAACTGTATTTC